TCCTGCTCTTCTTCCTTCCACACCCTTCCTCCTTTAATTAATACCAGAGCAACCTGCTGAGTGAGGTTCTCCATGAGAAAGAGAATTGTTGAGTGAGGGGATTGGGCTGCATGCAGTGGGGTTTCATCTTATAGTGCAGCGGGAGGGGAGAAGAGGGTTCCAGTGCCACTCTGTGCTCTAACCTGGCTGTGGGTTTAATTCCCCCTGGCACAGCATTTAGTAGGCCTGAATAAGATTAGATTTAGTGGGAGGGTCCTTAGGTCTCATCTCCATCTCAAAATGGCACTGGCCATTCTCCAAAAAAACTTTAAAAGTGATGTGATTGTTGGGAGAACACCATTTGGTCTTGATGGAGATTCAAATAATATTATCACCCATCAAAAAGACTGACAACAGAACGAAAGCAAAATAGTCTTGGCTTGTGATCGCTTGAAGAATTGTGTTAATAAAAGATGCAGTGACAATTTTTATAAGTTCTCCTTTAGAGAATGTCAGGTTTTTTTCTAACACAGATAGCAAGTTGCTTTGTATTTAAAATCAAATACAGAGATAGTAATGAAAAAAGTAATCTTGGAGAAAGTTCTTTAAAACTTTCTACAATTTCTGGTTAGATCTTCAAGTAAATGTGATGAAGCCTTATTGACTTAATTAGACAAAGTGTGCAGTGGGAATGACGAAAGTAAAGAATAAGTGTGTATCATTGGGAGAGCCATCAGAATTTTGTACTCATAGCCAGGGAAGAACAACATGGATGTTCCCCCTTATGATCCTTCTGAGAGCTTTCTAACAGGAGTTAATGGGCTTCTCTCAAATGAAGGGGAGCAGTGCAGAGTGCCTGAGGGCCTCAAGCATCTGTTGAGGCTTATTTCTCATTTTTATTTGGGGAGTAAAGAAAAAGTAATGAGGGTTGAAATTGGCTTTAGTTTTATTACAAATTCTTGTTACTTTTGTTTTAGTGAAACAAATCCAAGAACTGTCCTTTTTTTTTTTTTTCATTTTTGTTTTAACTAAAAGTTATTATTTCTCTCTGAAGTTCTTGGGAAGTGTGTTAGTTGGATTGTTTGAAAAGAAAACTTAATCTTGCATAACACTTTAACTGAGCAAGCAAAGAGAATTGAGAAAAACTGAAGAAGGAAAACTGATTTTATTTGCAGAACATAAATTAGTTTTGTGTAGTAAACACTTGCAAAAGTAAACACTCTTGCAACACTTGCAAAAAGTAAACACTTGTCAGCAATATAGGGCTAACCCTATATTGCTGACACATTTATAAACATACTTGTGATGACGGTAACATTGCACTGACAATACCCTGATTTACTGTTCTGGTTCAGATCTTGATGTCCCTGTCTTTGTTGAGGATATGTGTGTTAAATGAGTTATTTCAGTTGTTTTCTCTCTCTGTCTCTCGTTGTCCTTGGCACAGATCTCAAAGCGGTACTGTCAGAACAAACTGCTTGGACTGTTTGGATAGAACAAACAGTGTGCAGGCTTTCTTTGGCTTAGAGGTAAGAAAAACAGTGTCCAGATACACAACTGCTCCTGATGCTTCTGTAGCAATTAGGCTGTAAAAGTAGCCTTAACTTCTCTATGAAAGGTGAATTAAAATGTTTTGTAGATGGCCGTTTGATTTGTAGTGTGATACTTTTCTTGTTCTGGGGCAACCAGATCTTGGCAGTTACAGAAGCAGTAGTTGTAATTAAACAGTAGTCACGCAACATTATGAAGAATGTTCGTTCTTTTTTAGGTGTCAGTTTCTTATGTCTGTTAAGGTTCAAGCTTGCAATTCTGGAAGAGGTAGTAGTGTTGCAGTCCTTCGCAAAAACACTTGCATTCACAGTTACTCTGAGATCACGTTCTTCAGCATACAGGATCACTGTTCCTAGCACCTGACAGTACTGTGTGTTCGTATTTTCACAGCACTGGGCCGCGAATTCTCCATGGGACAATAGCATGGTTGAGGCTTTAGCCACACTCAAATAGAGTAGCTGGGAATTAACAGTGGGATTCAGTCCTCCTGCAGGGTTGTGCTTCAGAATATTGGCTTGGTAATGAAACAGAGGTTCTAGCCTGCAGGCTTATATTGTAGAGCTTGAACACATGAACCTGATAGGAATTGATGGAGTAAAATAGTACTGACTGGGCTAAAAGAGTAGCTCTGAAAAACTTTTGACAGCTCCAGTCACCTTAATAAGCTAAGTTTGACTCTTAAAGATAAAATCCTTAGCATGCTTAAAAATGAAAAATTCTGGATGCTGAAACATCAAACTAAGTAAAAAGATTATTCTTTTGTTTTCTGAATTTTATTTAATTAAAATCTTGTTTTAGTGTTTACAGGAAGAATTTCTGTGAGAAGTGCAAAATCTGTTGGCTATAGAACAAACACTGCCAATTTTGGAAAATCACAGAATCACAGAATGTCAGGGATTGGAAGGGACCTCAAAAGATCATCCAGTCCAATCCCCCTGCCGGAGCAGGAACCTAAATGAGATCACACAGGAAGGCATCCAGGCGGGTCTTGAATGTCTCCAGAGAAGGAGACTCCACAACCTCCCTGGGCAGCCTGTTCCAGTGCTCTATCACCCTCACCGTAAAGAAGTTTCTTCTCAAGTTTAAGCGGAACCTCCTGCGTTCCAGCTTACACCCATTGCCCCTTGTCCTGTCATTGGGCATCACTGAGAAGAGCCTGGCTCCATCCTCCTGACATTCGCCCTTTACATATTTATAAACATTAATTAGGACACCCCTCACCAATCATCTTGGTGGCTCTGTGCTGGACTCTCTCAAGCAGTTCCCTGTCCTTCCTGAACTGTGGGGCCCAGAACTGGACACAATATTCCAGATGCGGCCTCACGTATGTAATGCTTTGCTGGTGCATTTACCAAGTTCATTGATGGTTTAGTCAAATGGCATACTGAACTGTTTACCCTCACACAAATACTCTGAACATTTTTCTCTTATCATTCAGCATGAGTACATAGCAGATACAACACAAATGGAGAGATCTGATGCCTTTTTTCTCCATTGTTTCAGCTCTGCTTCTACTGTAGGGGGTCACACCTTTTAATTACTAAAATGAAGAAAAATAATTCTTACTCTTTTCTGTAGTTCACTGTGCATTGAAAAGAGTAGCAGCATGCTTTGAAAATCTCCCAGCATTGGATTAAGTTATGTAGTTTGTCTGTCTGCCCATCCTGTATTGGCTTTGCCATGGGAGAGACAAATGATTACCTTAAAGTCTTTCCTGGTCCGAAATCTGTTTGCTGGAGTTTAACAGTTTGCTGTAGATAGAAATGCAAGCTTGAAGTAAGCAATTAGCTTATCTTAAATGACCCATGAGAAACATTGTCTCCTGTGTTTTACTGGTAATAGTTTTCTGGGGCATCAGAACAAATCTTTATATGCTCTTAATGCGTATAGTACTTATAGGGCAAACTTAGCTTTGCAGCTCTATTTTTTCCTTTCTTATCCTTTAAGAACTGGATTAAATAGCATAATGTTTTTTAGACCAGGTGTGCCAGATTCTTCCTTGGTGAGAGCTAAATTACAATTTCAGCTAAAATACAAGAGCAAAAAATCTAAAACTAATTAAGAAGAAGCAAAATGGTAAATCCTCATGAGCTGCTTACTTAATTTTAAAATTAAATTTAAATGAGATATTTAAATTCTTACTTTTTTAACATTGATAGATACTTCATATAACAAGTAGTGAGCTCTGGATGGCAACCTCAAATTACAAGATGAAAGACCCAACATCTGAAGCTTCTTTTCATGTTTATTTCTACTTAATTTTGTCTACTAGTTTCCTTTTATAAGTTTTGTTAATTCCTACCCAACCTTTAGGATTTTGCCTTTATGTGATTTTATGTTCATCATTTTAGACTCCTTCTTGCTGTTGGACGCCTCAAGGTTTTAAAGATTTTTAAAACCTCTTGAAAATGGCCTATTAAATTAGTTTTAATTTTTTATATTTATTTTCAGTATTATGTTGGTGGCCACAAACACTAGAAACTTACTTGACTTTTTAAAAATAATCAGTATTTCATAAACCAGGTTTTCAAACAGCGTACTATCTCTCATTCTGCATCCATGAGCATAAAGCTACATTTAAGTAATGTATTTAAATGTATAAATAATATGTTTATATGTATTATATGTATGCAGTTTAAATACCTTTAATGTAGACTGGGCATAGTGGAAAATTGTTTTGGGAATATTGATTGTAAGGGTAAAGGTTGCAGTGTGTTACTCATGCGAACAGAATGAATGCAGAAGCCATTGCTGTTTCACTGATCACAGAGCTCTGTGGCTGCTGCATTTGATAATAGAGGTCAGTGTGTTTGGTATTACACTTTTTTGGGAAGAACATGAATTGTTCTCATTCTAAATTACGTGAGTAGAAAGACTTGAGAACCAAAAATAGCTTACCTTGTTAAATAGTGAATTTTTAGAGGAAAATATTTACAAATCAACTATATAATTATTTTCCTCTATTACTGCCTATCTTGAAAAGAAAATTAAGTGCTGGTACTAAAGTTACATGTACAATATAGCCTTTCAAACGTGACATGGTGTCAGTTTGTTCGGAACGATACACATAAGCCAAAGATACTTTTTTGGTACATATATGCTGAAAAAATATGATGTGCCTTTTAATAAATATATTTAAAGATTTTTTTTTTTTTTTTTAAATGTTGTTTTCAACTATTGCAGATGCTAACAAAACAACTGGAGGTATTAGGATTAGCTGAGAAGCCTCAGTTGGTTACTCGCTTTCAGGAAGTTTTCCGATCCATGTGGTCTGTGAATGGTGATTCTGTCAGTAAAATTTATGCTGGAACTGGTGCCCTTGAAGGAAAAGCTAAGGTAAAGTACATTTTATTAAAAACTTTAGCAGTAGTCAGCATAAGTTTTAAAAAAATCTGTTATTAATATAACAACTGTGAAATTTTCTTTTTTAAAATGTACTTTTGTTGTAATCCTAAAAAAACCCAAAACAAAACTATAAAAAGGTTGGTTATGTTGATAACCAGATCTTTTTTCAATCCATCCTTTCTCAGCCGTGCCCATGCCTCCCAGGTAATACTATTATGTAGGAAAGGATGAGGCTCACAACTTTTATTTCTTTAGACCATAGTTCAGAAAAATGCATATTCAAATCAGCTTTAGTTTCTTTTTTAGTTTTTCTCTTTATACCTCTGCCTCTTGCTGTTTCAATTTCATTCACTATATCTCTTTTCTTTTAAAATGCATTTCACTGGACATTGTTGTTCATGCTCTTACTGTTTATTAACAGTGTTAAAATTTAACAGGTTGCAGCTGGGTGGTTTTTGTTTGCATGTTCCTCCAGCTATTTCTTTTTAGTTTTGCAGTTACTGAAAAAAACCCAAATTCTGTTTCTACCTTGCTTTCTAATGTTTTGGTAACAATTCCCTGCTACATGACAGTGTAATTCTCTGTTCTCTTCAACTTGTTTTGTCTTTGTTGATGCCCGAGTTGTTCAGATTTTCTGCTGCTGTCTTTTATTTTTCTTCCAACAACATTGCTTTTTTTGTTTTCTTAATTCTCTCACTTATCAGGTGATACCTCTCAAGACAAACAAATGTTGAGCATAGCAGTTTTTCCCATTAGTTCCTTCAAGAATTTCTTTTCATACTCCTCTTTTTATTCAAGAATGCACTGCTTCTCATTCAATATTTATACTATGTACTCATAGTCAACTGTTTTGTTTTTCCATCACTTGTTCATTCAAACCATATCAAGGTCCTTCACTGCATGTGTACAAGGCATCGCAGTAAGCTACATAAAAAATAAAATAAGTAGAATAGACTTGTTGCTTCTTCTGTCCTTAATTGGTGCATACAAGACTTTTTCATTTGGGAATTGCTTATATTTTAGTATAGAGTGGAATTTGGTTAAATATGTTTAGTTTTATTTTCTTACAAAAATGTCACGCATACCGTCAGGAAAACTACAGTAAGTATTTTATGGGGTGTACCCCCTTCTCCTGACTTTCTCATGCAACCTTACTTGTTCCTTTTCCTAAATGAATACTTTTCTGCCATTCATTTGGCTACTTAGATTTTTTTATTTATTTTTTATTGTGTAAAATGCATTTACTGTGTTTACACTTCCATTTTTAATATGTAAAATACAGTATACGTTTACTCTGCTGTCTTTCTAATAATACAGAATAATCAGTCATTTTTCCCAAGCATCTCTGCCCTGGTACAACTGTTATGAGTATTGCATCTCATAGATCAAACACAGTGTCCTCAGTAGAAGTCCATCTGTTTGAAGAGGATCTTTAATATTTGCAAAGCCTTACAATACTTGCTGTTCTTTCAATAAAAATTGAGCAGGTTGCTACCCAATATCTTCTTGAGTACTCTGATAATATTTTTTAAAATGTAGTTTTTAAGTTGCAATTCTTATTCTCATTTCTCAAATGAAAAGTTTGATGTTTGAAATGCTTCCATTTCTTGCTCATCAGTTTGATTCTTCAAAGTCCAAGAGAACTTATCAGTAAAAATATGGAAATTTAGGATAGGAGAAAAAATATTTTAACCTTAAATGCGTTAGTAGATTTCTATACTGAAAAACAGTCCTTCTAAAATTATTATAATACTTGTTACATCTAACTCCTTACCTACTCTTTCTTTTGCTTTCTCTGGGTTCCTTTCAATTAATTGCCTGATATGTGAATGGTGAGTGTGGATTTTTTTGGATCATGTCATAAGTTACACATTGTCTGACAGAAAGGGAGCAGCATCCTGTTAAAAACCTATTGCGACAGTAGGCTCCCCAACACCTCATCCACATTGTGTTCCAAAGATCATGGTGCCAATTTACTATTACTTATCTTTGACAAAAGAGTAGTTTCTTTCTTGTTTTTTATAGAAGTAAATGATGGGTTGGTTTTGTAGTTCTCTTAAGCTTTTGTCTTTTTTCTTGGGCGTTTAAGAGACCTTCATGTAAACTTTGAATATTTTTTTATAATAATACAATACCATGCAGCATCCCTGATGGATTACAGTCTGTATTTCATATAAATGTAATAGCAAGTGTTTACATACACCTCACTGGTAAAATACACATAACTGCATAAGACACAATAAACCATGTAATCAAGAAAATGTGTTTGTGCCCGTGAAATCATTGTCAGTGCTGTGTACAGAGATTAACACTGCTGGTTTTTGAATCAAGTATGTAACTGCATGACAAGGTATACGGTATCTGTAGTAGCAGTACATCTCTTGGAGATTCTTGTTTAGTTCAGGTAGTTGGACACTGTTCTTTTGGAGCACTGTTCAATTGTGCCACTTAGGTGCAGTGACAGCGTCTTCATATGTATGTAGCTATGGATTAGTGTATGTGTTCCTTCTGGGATACTGCATGAGACTTGCATGTTATTTTAAAAAGTTAAGGGGATCTTAATAAGTTGAAGCTATCCCCTTTTTTATGTGGATATTTCAGAATGTGAGTTCTGATCTAATATGCTTATATGTGCATTTACATACATATTCATGTATCATGACATCTGGACTCAAGTGCTTGCTCATCTCTCACTATTTGGGGAAAAGCCCAAAATCTTGTATCATAGTCTAAACATGGCACTATATCAATATAACTTTTGAAGACCAAGGGTTTAGGGGGAAAAAAAAATATTCCCCTCCCTGCAGTATTTTCTTTAATTTAAATAATTTAAACTTGAATAATCTGCTTGTTAGTTATGCCTAGAAAGTGAGACTGTGTTGTTTAGCAGTTGGAAAAAAAGCACACATAGTATGGTAGGCTCAGAAGATTTTATTTAACACTTAAGGAAGGAAGTTGTCTTAGATTTTAAAATCATTAATGCAGTTTACAAATATGTTACTGAATATTAGCAATGTTTTTGTGAGCAATGTCCAACATAAAATATTTTATACGTGTTCCTCCCTAACAGGCTGGAAAGCTGAAGGATGGTGCTCGTTCTGTGACCAGAACGATTCAAAATAACTTTTTTGATAGCTCCAAGCAGGAGGCCATTGATGTTTTGTTATTGGGAAATACCCTAAATAGTGATTTAGCAGATAAAGCACGGGCTCTCTTAACCACCAGCAGTTTACGCGGTATGTGTCTTTCAGGATTTTAATCTGATAACTATTTGGTGTAAGAAAGATGTATGGAGTCTGTTTTCAAAGCAATATTGGAAAGTATAAATGCTGTTTTATATTCTGTTGGCTTATTAAAAGATGAAAGTTAACTTCTGCTTTACTAATATTAGCAAACTAACATGCTGCAGTAATTTCTTTACTGTTTATATTTTATTGATGTCTGGTGGTGTAGAAGGTAAATATTTGTGGAGCGTATTTGTCAGAACTTTACAGTAGATGCATGTTAGATATGTTCTGTTCAATTCTTCAAATCCATTTATAGCAAGTGTTAATCATGACAATTACATACTAAATTTAGGGGCAAAAAAAATCCTGATTCATTAAAACATTAGGATTTTTTATTGCTTGCTAAATGTCTTTCTTAATTTGATCTGTCATGTCAGTGAAGAAATTCTCACCATCACAAAATATTTTTTTCTGAGAAGTCTTTTCTGGAAATATGTGCACCACAAAAGCTTGTCAGGCTTTGGGTGAAATTCTACAACAAAATCAGAGAGACTTCAATAAGAGACTCTGCTTAGGCAGCATAGCCATGTGGACATGTGGGAAACGGGGAGCTGAGCCACAGCACCCTGCATCCCCAGGCAGAGGTGTAGCCTATGTGGTCCCTGGGACTAGAGGTCACGTCTCATCCTTCTACAGATCTGATGGGCAGAGAAATAGTAAGCGAGCCAGGTGTAGGGCTGTGTTTAGAGCACTCTCCTGGGATATAAAAAATAGAAGGGCAAATTCTTGGACAAAGAAGGAACTTAAATTTGAGACTTCTTTCCAAGATTCCAAGTGAGTGTCCTAAATGATGGGTTATTGCTCTTTTTAGGGATTAATAACATTCTTAATTTTTCCCTTTGTGTTGTGTTCCCCATTCTCCTGGACACTTCTCAACCTAGAATGCGAAAAATGTGTCAAAGTTTCAGTGCAAATCTGTGGCACAAGAAAAAAAATTCTTGCCCAATTGTAGTCTTCATCTTGTGCATATTTATTTATTTCCCATGTGGAATCTGAAAGACTGTTTTCCTCTTACTTCCTTACCACAAGGTTTTGTGTTATTGGAACTTTTCCTGTTTCTGAAACCTGCTAAATCAACCTCACCTCAAAATTACTTGAAAGTTGTTTTAATTTCTTCTCACTTTCTCTGTGAATGCAAGCTGTCCTTTCAGTATTTGCTGCTCCTGTCAGCTGTGGAACATTAATCTCTCCCACTGAACATAATGTCTTTGCATTGTCTCCTAGGTGGTCAGTTAACGAGAGATATACTTCGTCATACATAAATCCATTTTTAATAAAGCAAGAAAAGAGAATTTGTTAGTACTGTTGTGGATTATTTTAGATTTTGCAGCGTAAAAGATGTGCTTTAACTGGTGCAAATGGTTAGGTGTCATAAATTGTATATTACAGTATGTTCTCTCATATATTGCTGGAAAATTTTAAAAAACAATTACTTATTTTACTAATTTTTTTCTTGTTTCCTTCTTACTGCATCCGTAGTTTCAGAACAATCATTACAATCAGGTATAGTATAGTAAATTAAGCTGTAAATATTTGAGCAGCTATTGTTCTTCTCTGGCTTTTTTCTTGTGCCTATTGCTATTTGCATAATACTGGTTGTGGGCTCGCATTTTCCTAGTAGTGTTTGGATCTGACATTCCTGTGCCCCAAAATCCCTTAATCCAAGAAAAACTCTTTAATACAAGAAAAGTGAAAATATAATGGATGAAATATGTTGCAGTTTTACTTGGGTATGAGTTATGAAAAGAGGCAGCCAATTCTTTGGGGTTTATTTTTGCAAATGCTTTATTCTAGCTCTGAAGGAATTTGCTTTTTTGGGAGCTTCTGTATTTTTGTTTTGTCTAAATGTTTTCTTTAGGATAAGAGGTACAATTCTTCAGTATAATATGTAACTTCATCTTATTTGCCATTAGAAGGCTTCAACTGCTTGTGCTTTTGCATGAGACAGACTGGTTTTGTAATATATCCCAGCAAAAGTTAATGTTATACTGGAATGATCTGAAATATCTTGCTGACACATTTAATGGAATAAAAGTAACATCAAAACCACTGAGGTAGTTACCTCTGCATGCGATGCAACATGAAAGTTTAGTTAAAACTCTTGATGAAAAGAAGGTCTGAAAAGGGGACTTTATAATTAACTCCTAATCTACTTTGAAACACTGTGGTGGTATCTTGATAAATGTGATGTTTGGCTTAAAATGTGAGAGGTTGGCTTTGGAGGATTCAACAAACATGAAGAAGCGATACATAGTAAGAATGTGTAAAGATGAGCTAGATAGAGGAAAATGACATGAAAGATCTCTGCAATTTAAGAAGCTTCTGAAAACTCTTAGTTATTATCATTGTAAGTTAGCAACATAAGCAACATAATGCCTTTGAACTTTATTTTCAGAATTTTCTAATTCTTAGTAGAGATTCTCCTTTTTGTTGTAACTTAAGCTGTTTACATGAAGCTGTTCCATCTGGGGAGATGTGATATATACATATTCCATATTTTGACGGGAGAGCTGCAAGTATTTGTCAGCTGTGCAACACTTCCTCATCTCCTTGTTCACAGAAACTATTATTTAAAATAAAATATTCCCTATGCTCATTATGTTCAGATTATACTATGTATTGAGAAAATTTAAATGGCCATTTCTAAGCTATCGCCTTAGTAAGGTTCATTGTGCTAACTCTTGGAAGTAGGTTCATTGAAGTCAGAGGAGGTGCTTTTTTTCTGGGTGAGAGGAAAAAAGTACTTTCTTAATACCTGGGAAGACAAAGGGAGAGGAGGAGGGAAAGAAACAAAGAAACTTTTAATAATTGTTCAGACAAGTCTCCCATTTTAAGAGAATAGCAAAGTTGTGCACAGTATCCCCTGAACCTGTGTGCTCAGGTAGTAGCCACTAGCCCTGGGTACTGAAGATTGGCAGAGGATGTTCCTTGGAAGAAAGGCTTGAGGACTTGTGGTTGGCTAGATTGGCGTTCAAATACATCTGAAGTGTTTGAAGTTTGGTTTTTGGTTTTTTGGGTTTTTTTTGTTGTTTGTTTTGTTTTGTTTTTTCCTTCACTTGGAAAATTAATTCAACTGTAATCTGTATTTTTGAGCTTTAAGTGTTTTTTTTTCCCCTTTACGTTCATCTCAGCTTTGCTTTTTCTATAAGTGTGTCTACTTAACTCTTACTGAGTACTTAAACAGTGAAATCTAAATCACAGGTAATGTACACCCGAAATTAATTGATTCATGGGCGTTTTGTCAGTCTTAAAAACTGTTCATTGGAATAAACAGTGACATTGTCATTTATGGTGGTAACATCTAGACTATATCAGCCTACCTTATAACTCATGAAGAGTCATACATGTCGACTATTAAATTTTAACTTCCTGATATAACATTTCACTGTGGGTTTCATCTGGATACAAATTGCATATATAGAAACATATCTACAGTAATTTAGATGTTGTAGCAAAATAGTTCAGTCAAGTTCAGTTGCACAAAATATCCCACCAAGAATTTTAAATTAATATTCCCTTTGTAGAACTGATTTCCAGATGTCTGCCTGCCTAGTATGAACAGCAGTTAAAATATTTCTGCTGCAGAATAACAGCAGATGTAATTGATTGGATTTTTAACATTGTTAGTGAGACACAATTTTGCTGAAAAGATAATATCTAGAAATCTATAGGAAAATAGTGAATGCTGGAGACTCAGGAGCTCTGAAAAACAATTGGCTCACTCAGTATTTTGGAAAACAGATGAAAATTTAATCTTTTTTCTTTTTTATGTATTCTAATTTAGAAAAAGAATCATCCTACAATTTAGAAATCTTGCTAGTTTAAAGGTATGAATTTCAGATTTGTAATAATCATGTTGTCAGTTCACTTATAAAGTTAAATTCTGTCCCGATAAGATTTTTCACATTAGAGGTTAATGACAATGCCAGGAGTTAAATAGGCAATAATTCAATTTTGCAGCTTTTCTTAAAAGTTACTTGATAGCAAATAATTATTATTTGGAGTAATATTTTGAATTAAGCTGAAAATTGCTGAATTTGCAAAAGAGGAAGAAGGAACAGAAGTGGAGAGAAGTCCAAACTCTGCTTTTAAACTTACTCAGGGTTACTAGAGAGACTAATCTGTGCAGATCTTCAGAGCTGTCTGTGATGCTATTTTGGGTTCCTTGGGTTCAGCTAATCCTTTGGGTGATTTGGGTGCTTGTATATATTGTGGCTACAACATTTCTTGGATGGGCATCTCTTCAGTGGTCAGGTGCTTGGGTAGCTTCTGTCCTTGACCCTTGGAGGCTTTTCTGGCATTGGTGGACTTCTTGACTTGTCTGCTACCTATTGTGTAAATACATTCGGAATTAGACTCAGTATTTGGCTCTTACCTGAAGGTGTAAAGTATTGTGTTGGGTCCTTGCTGTTTTCTTGACTTAATTTACCTGGATTGTGATAAGGAAAGCATGATCCCAAGGATGATCTGCTTGTAGTACCCCAAGGAGACACCGGTTAGTTCATTGTCTTCTATATGTGGTTAGCCCATATACGGCTATATGATTTGTTCATCAGTTAAAAGAGTTTACAAACAAAAACTACAATGTATTATTTTTTCTGTTGTTTCCAGTTTGTTTCAAAACCGTGAGGGCTAGATAATTGCTGATTTTTGTTTTAATTGGGTAGCCAAGATTCTGTAGCAAGTTTAAAGGTGGTAGACTTAAAAAAGAATAACTGAAAAGACAACAGCAGCTCACTAATCATACTATTTTGGGGATTTGAATGAAAATATTACGCCCAGTAGCTGACCATTTTGCAGGACAGCATACAATGAAGGGAATTCAATCTAATATTGTTTATAAGATTCTCACAGTCTCGTAACCATGAGAATATTCAAAATAGGTAAATTGATATCACTCAGGTAAAATACAATGCATACAATACTCTTTACACCTGATGCAGTTTTTATTCCACCGAGATTAAAAAAGAAAAGGAGCATAATTTAAAAATATATTCAGATCTGTTTGCATTATGAAATATACGTGTATGAGTATATTATGCAGCTGATTTATGAAGGGACTTTTTAAAACCTCTGTAACTCTAGTGTCTGACTATTGAATAATCTTTTTTTGTTTGTTTGTTTCCCACAGTGCCCTTTACAGATGGGTCATTACTCTCTCCCCCATCTGGCAGATAGAAACAAGGCACAGAGAAAGGCTAGTGTGACAGAGAAATTAGTTTAATTGTTTTGAATCCTAGCCTACTTTCCTCACTAAAGTGGAATTTTAGGAATTCAGCTGACCTAAAAAATAATTTAGATTTGTGGTTTAAATAGTCATACTCTTAATATGATAAAATTATGTGCCTTACTATTTTAGTAAATGTAGTATATCAGTCATTTTTACACTTCTAGAAATTAACATATCTGTAAGTTGTTTTTGTAAGGGAGATTGAATTTCATAAATGTAATCTGTGAAAATGAGGTAAGATATCTGTGTTGGCATGTATGAAAAATAATGGTCTCCATAGAGAATCACAGATGGGGTGAAATAATGGCCAATATCTATAAAACAGAGAAATTATGTTTCTTTCATATATTGTTTATATATATATATTACTTTGAACAAATTAATACTGCCTTTCATTCAGTCAGTATCCTACTCAGACAAGTAATATGTCTGCAAATGCAATTTCCCTTGTGAAAAGCTGCATTCATCTTGCTTTCACAGTTTAACTTTAGATATGTCTGTGCATGGATTTGTTGCCATTTTTTAAGGGAAAAATCTCGTTGCCAAGTTTTCTGAAGAAACATTCTATATAAAAATAAAAATAATGTCTTTTCAAATGTTTTTGCAGCATCTGTAAAAGTGCTAAAGAGTATGTGTGAAAACTTTTATAAGTATGCAAAACCGAAAAAAATTAGAGTCTGCGTTGGGACGTGGAATGTGAATGGAGGAAAGCAGTTTCGAAGTATTGCCTTTAGAAATCAGACCCTCACTGACTGGCTTCTAGATGCACCAAAGTTAGCTGGTATTCATGAATTCCAAGGTAGGATTTGTATTCTACCAATTTTTTCTTGAAAGCTCTGAACTTCATAATTAGGTCATAAACATTAAAGTAGATATATGAGGTCTTGGTTCTTAATTATAAACAACAGTATTTTTTAAAATATTTAAATGCAGATCGCAAAAGCAGGCCTGTAGACATATTTGCCATTGGATTTGAAGAAATGGTGGAGTTAAATGCAGGAAATATTGTGAATGCCAGGTAGGTGATACAATCTATACATTACTAGTTTAGTTGATACCACTTTTTTTTGGGGTAAAATGTTATTTAAAATATTTTTTCTCCTGTTTTTTAATGGTTGGGACTAGTCTGGATTAATTTTTAACTGTATTCTAGTTCTCTCTGCGAGTTTCTGTGCCAGGATTGCAGACTTCATCTCATCTCTAGCAAAACTGTGATCACTTAGATCATGTATAATGTAATCTCAAGGATCCAAACAGTCAGTACTTGGACATATTTTGGATTGCACCTTCAGCAGCCCCTCAATTTTTTCCTTCATTTAACACTTTGAAGGAATTTGCCTCCAATACTTGTAGTGTTCTGCGGTCTCTGTGCCTTCTACTGCTGGGTGCAGCGAGTCCTGTCAAATTCCTTCCAAAAGCATATATTGTTGGTATGCCTTTATGTAGTGTCTTGCATCAGATTTTGATGTGTATAAAAGCAAGGCTTCCTTCCACACTGTCAGTTTTCACTGTCATTCCATGAATTACATGAATATGTGATTGTGGAGTTTGCATTTTTCACCCCTAGCAGACTGGGTTATGAAAACATATTTTTACCAGTGGCGAGTGATACCAGTGACGAAGTCTGTATGTGTAGTCCTAGGATAGTATTTACTTTGTCCATTGTTTTGCCTGCCTGTTTTGCATGCTTTTTGGTGTTCAGCAAGCTTTAACTCATTGGAAAAAGCACCTAAAACCTGTAACACTGTTAACTTTTGAACAGTCTTGAGGACAAAGTAGCAGTCTGTCGTCCCCAGATTTCACACTGTGTTTAGTTAATGCTGTTTCCAGGTCTGATATTTTTCACTTATATCTAATGCTAGCTCTGAAAACCGTAGTCTGTTAGGTCTTCGAGGAAGTTTCTTCTTGATCTAAGACCATGGACATTTCTGTTTTCCAATGATGACTGAGCTCTAGGCTAGGAAGTAACTCTCCAGAAAAATTCTTAGGTTTTACTCACAGAATCACACAATGACAGGGATTGGAAGGGACCTTGAAAGATCAT